GTGGAATGGGCTCCCATAGTTCACACCTATGCTAAGGTTAAGTACTGAACTACTACAGTAGGTCCCGTAGATTTCCAAGGTTTCCTCACTGAAACTCATGTTCCTGGGGTCTGGATCAGTCCCATGCTGGTATCCCAGATATTATGACTTATATTAAAGCAAAGTAGCACTGTAACTTATCTCTGGCTTTATCTAATATAGCAAATTTATCAGAGTTTATAGTTTTTAAAAAATACCAAAAGTTGTTGGGTATGGTGGTAGAAGCAGGCAGATCTCTGGTTTTTGAGGTCAACTATAAGAGCTACATGGTGAGCCCCTGTTTCTTTTTTCTTTCTTTCTTTCATTCTCTTTTTTTTTTTTTTTTTTTTTATTCTCTTTTTTTTTTTTTTCTTTTTTGTTTGTTTTTTTTCCAGACAGGGTTTCTCTGTATTGCTATGGAGCCTGGCCTGGAACCCGATCTGTAGACCAGGCTGGCCTGGAACTCACAGAGAACTGCCTGCCTCTGCCTCCCCAGTGTTGGGATTAAAGGGCCACCAATGCCCCTCAAGACTTTGTTTCAAAACACAAGAAAACAAACAAAAGAATTCCCATCAGAAACAAAAGCCAAAAAACCAGATAGGCACTCTAGTGCACACCTTCAACCCCAGCATATGCGGTAGACAGAGACAGGAAGAGCTCTGTGATTTCGAGGCCACTTTGGTCTGTTCAACCAAGGCCAAGACAGCCAGGTGACACAGTGAGACCCTGTTGAAAGGGGGAAAAAACAAAACTAAAAAGTCTTTTATGATAGCTGGGTAGTTGTGGCACACATCTTTAATCTCAGCACTCACTAGGCAGAGTCAGGTGAATCTCTGTGAGTTTGAGGCCAGCCTGGTCTAACAAGGACTATTACATAGAGAAACCCTGTCTCAGAAAAACATATCTTTCATGATTATGAACACCATAATAGAATTGAATGGAATTTATACCTAATCTAATTAACTTTTTGTAAGTAAATTTGTTTTTCTCAGAAGTTCATTGGAACATGTATGGTAACAAATAATACATTTTTGGAGTCTGTGTAATTCTGCTCTCAGCAAGAAACTGTTGGAGTTTTTAGTAACTAGATTTTATATAGCAAGGCCCAAATAGTTAACTTGAGGATAATTTTATTTTTATTTAAAAATTTAAAAGATTTTATTTGTTCATTTTTTAAAATATGTGTATGTGCACCTGTGTGAGGTTTTATATTCACCAAGTCCATGCAGGTGCCCTTAGAGACCAGAGGGCATTGGATTCCCTGAAACTGGAGTTATAGGCAAGTGTGACCTGCCTGATAAGGGTGCTGGGAACCAAACCCAAGTGCTCTTAGCCACTGAGAAAAAGTCCCTATTTCTTTTTAATTTAAATTACATTTTTATTTTTGCTGTGTGTGTGTATGTGTATGTGTGTGTGTATGAGTGTGTGTGTGAGTGAGTGTGTGAGTGGGTGCACATGTGTGTGTAGTCCGTGTGCATGGTGTGTGTAGCTGGGTGCATGAAGAGGTCAGAAGACAACTCTCAGCAGTTGTTTCTCTCCTTCCACTATGTGGTCCCAGAAATCAAATGAAGGTCCTCTGACTTGGTGACAAGTACAAGCTGCTGAGCCACCTTGCTAGTCCCATTTTCTTTGAAAACAATTGATCTGTTTCTGTCTTTTGTAAGTTTGTGAAGGTGTACATTTTATAGCTACACATGTAAGAACTTTCCTCAGCCTGTTGATAGTTGCTTTAAAATTTGCACTGGAGTCTGGGGGAGATGGCTCAGTGGGTAAGAGTGCTTGTGGCTAAGCCTGGGGACCTGAATTTGATCCCAAAGACCCACATGATAGAAGGAGAAAACCGATTCCTGTAATTATCCTTTGACCTATCCACATGGACGGCTTTGGTGTCCTCTTGGACACACACAAAATAAAATAAAACAAATAAAAATTTTTAAAAATATTTTTGGGGGGCTGGAGAGATGGCTCAGTGGTTAAGAGCACTGCCTGCTCTTCCAAAGGTCCTGAGTTCAATTCCCAGCCACCACATGG